TAATTTATCAATAGATAAATTTAGGCTCTAAACATGCACTAAACAGACAACTAACAAATAGCTTCTCAAATAAATTTTGGGAGAGATCCCCAAAAGCAAATATTTTCGAAAATAATTTCTCAAAACTGCTGGAGAGATCTCAAAATTTCTTTCACAAAACATCTCTTAACACTTTCTCAAAGAGATCTCAAAACAACTTTCTGTAAAACTTTCTGAAAGAGATCTCATAAACTTTACTGTAAAACTCTTTATGCCTAATTTTAACAGTGGGCCCGTGATATGTACTCAAAGGCGCCAATCCGACCGCTCAGGGGAGCGACCCACTGAACATATCGGACTCTCTGAAACTGATAAACTGATAATCTGAGAGAACTTGTTCCCGAGTACATATCACCTGATCTTTCACTTTAAATATTAGTTCTTTTATGGTGATGTTTGAGTAAAAACATCATTAAAATCTTGAAATAAAGTACTGACATAATCTTGACTATGTCAGATAATAAACATAACTTAATACAACAATTACAATAATTCATCGAATAATTCACCAAGCTCACATAATATCAAATAGTCTAAAATCATCTACTAAAAATCAACCAGACTTCTTTCTTTCATTTGGTTGAACAAACATGTACATGTGATAGTGAATTTACCTGTAGAAGCTGAACTCAAATTACTCAATTAAGTATGACACCTTGATAACGTCTTTCGGTAAGCTCTTCTTAAAACTCTTTACATAAATATAATAGTATAATTAGAATTTAATCTTTCAGCGAGCTGCACAACCCAACTAAATTGATCTACCTAGAGATGCTATTTGAACCGATTGAACTTCACCAGTTTAAACTCAAAAACGCAGCAAGGAGAATATATTTGAACGGCCACCAAAACAAAGACCATCAAGGGTGCCTGACAACTTGTCACAATTCCAAAAAGGAACTCACTTCCACTTAACTACTACTTCACTAGTAATTTAATAGATTTGAAGATCATGGGCCATGATGAAGAAACGGATATTGCAAAGTTGATAGAGAAAAGTTTAATTTGTAAACATAAATCCTCAATCATAGACTTAGGTCAGATTGTATCGTGATAGCATAAACTTTTCAGCACCTAAAGCTTAAAATTTAACTATACAAAAGTTTTGTCGGTTCTGAAAGCAAAAACAACAATCTGACCCGTTTTAAAAACATAGACAAGTTGCCTGGGTTTGACAACAATAGCAATGAAACTGATTTTGTCTTTGTAATACCAATTCAAAAACAAGATTGATTACAAAAACAAGATTGATTACTAATACCAATTCAAAAACAAGATTGTAACTCCTTGGGTAATCACTTTTGTTTGTAAGCTCACTTTATTTTAAGAGAACGACATTAGGAAGATAACAAATTTAAAAGAGACCTAGAAAAACACCTAATTATTTGAGAATTGCACAAAATAGAGTTAACCAACCTGGGATCAAAGGGCTGGAACAATTGTGGCCAACAAGAGAAAACATGGAAGCAAGATACATACCAGTTTCTCGCCGTTCAGATGCTATGGAGGAGAGGAGATGTGCGGCTAGAGGACAGGGAGGATCCGCAATCGAGGCTACGGGAGGTGCGAAATCTTTTTACGGTCTTAGGTGCCTAAGTATACATATCATTAATCCTAGGGCTTTTATTATCAAAAGGTTACTTATTTGGGCTAGGATTGATTTGGGCTCCTAATATTCTTTAAAAATCCAAAATTAAAAGTATTCTTTATTTCAAAATAAACTGATAAAGCTTAAAACATTACTTATTTCTTCACTTAAAATTATTAGAGCTTACCGGTCAACGTTACCTGCCAGAACAACACGTGATCAAACAATAAATCACATTAGTCATAGAAGAAACTTATTTACTTGACTAAAATTAATATTAATATTGATTAATATAACTAGCTCATAAAAATCGGGGTGTTACAAGCCTTGCACTACATGTCGTTGCTACCATTCATTATCGCCATCATCGCCTCTGACTGTCGCCATCCCTCATCTTCGTCTGCATCGACTTTTTGATCGACGGTGGCCGCTACAAAGAATGATGGAGATGATGGCTACGCAGAGCAACGACGGCGGCGGCTAAACCTGCCATTGGAACTTCTCTCCTCTTCTCCTTTCATTTTGTCCGGAAACCGCCGCCGTTGCATTCCATCGTTGTTCCCTTCTGCGGTGGCGGCGAGCTTCGTAGATCCAGCGAGAAACTTTTAATTCGGCGGCGAGATCTATTGATCTGGCGACGTGCTTCGTCGGATTTGGGAGCCACCGACGACTTTAGTGGCAACGACAGATTCTCATCTCGACCCTGCATAGATCTGGAACTCCTGTTCTATGGGTCTCCTTAGGCTAGGGCGGGGCACGGGTAGTGGCGGAAGACATGGAGTTGGTGTGGGCGGTGGCAATGCCAGGCGGCGTGGCGGTTTCGTTGGAAATTTTCACCAAAAAATCACCGAAAAATATTTCTGGCGGGCAAAGTGACATGTTTACCCGATAGTGACATTCATTAGTGACATGGGTATGTGGTAGTGACATCTGTTAAGTGACACAAAAATTGACAGTGACATCATATTTTTGAAAAATATGATCTTCTTACTCACTTTTCTGTCCTTATAAAAAAATTCTCTTTTTTGGAAATTGGTTAAAATTTAGTAATATTCAAGTAAAATCCCATATACAAACTAGCACCTACTAAAAAAATGAGAGATCCTTAAATACATTACTATAATTTCTAAATTATATATAGCATCTTCATTCCTATCTAGAAGTAACTCTTGAAATACTAAATAGTACGGAGTATATTTCTTTAGTTAAGTACTATACGTTCTTTAAAAAAAGTACTCCTATATGCCAATTTCCAAACTAACTATGTAATAAAACAATTCCTAATTTTTTACTACATGCAGAGTAGAGATAAGATCATAAGAGTACTAATGAATAAAAGATTGAGGGCATAAATAAAAAAAAAACTAACACTAGTAATTAAAAAATAGGGAAAAGTACATTTTACATACCTGTGGTTGTGGCCGTTTGCAATCAGGGGTCTGTGATGAACTTTGCAACAAACCCAAGCTTGTGCTTTCCTACCGTTACCACCCGCGGGGTCTAAGTGACTGGGCCGTTAGTAATACGCTACGTGGCACTTTTTTTTTGCTTACGTGGCTTTTAATCCCAATCTATTAACACCATGTGTGATTACATGGCTTTTTATCCCTAGTCCATACCGTGTTAACCTATTTGGACCATATAGGCATACGAAATCCATTCCCCTCTTCCACAAACACAAATACAAATTTGAAGAGATGAGTTCTTCTAATTCGAGCTCCTGTGCGATGGATGGAAGACAACAAATCAAGAAGTGCGGCTGTGGAGTCCAAGCTCCTATTTGGATGGGAAAAAATGCCACGTAGTGTATTACTAACGGCCCAGTCGCTTAGACCCCGCGGGTGGTAACGGTGGGAAAGCACAAGCTTGGGTTTGTTGCAAAGTTCATCACAGACCCCTGATTGCAAACGGCCACAACCACAGGTATGTAAAGTGTACTTTTCCCTAAAAAATAAAAAGTTGGAGGGGCTTGGGCACTTGGCCCTTAGCATTGGTTGTAGATCCCTCACTCACGGGAAATGCTTTAAATTATTGTCTAGATTGGTCTAAATTATTATTTCATCATTTGTTAATATAATGTTGTTTACCTCGTACAATGTTAATAGAATATCTTAAGAAGATGAAGATGTGAATTTAAATTGCTATCACAACCTTCCCTTTACTGCAATTTTTTATGAAGAAAAAGGAGCTTTTATTTATGCAATCAAAAAGGCTAATTTTTTTAAGTGGGACTAATATTATATGCTACTACCTCCGTCCCTTAAAACTTTGCTAAAGTTAACCGGTACGGAAAATAATAAAGTAAAAAATGTGTGGTTGAGGTTTGTGCAGAGGTGAGAGAAATAACAGAAACCACAAAATAATTGATTAAAAGGGAAAGTGACAAAGTTTTTTGGGACGTCCCGAAAAGGAAATATGCCAAGTTTTAAGGGACGGAGGGAGTAATATACAAGTAAGTAATTCTGATAAAAGTAAAACATATACTCATTTTTCATAATTAGGAGTTCAAGCTAAATATTGTCTAAATATAAGACTAATACTAACTTGGGATTGGGACTTGAATAATATTGAAAGGACTATTACAACCTCGTTAAATCTAGAGGAACTCTCACGGTGACACCACCGTCACAGTAACCACTTTCAGCCAATTACAATTACACAATTCAGAGTACTGATCTAATTAATGACAAAACAGTCTCATCGTTAGGTGGAGGTAGAAGTAGTGGTAATAGCGGAATTACTCTGGATGGTAAGGAGATACCAGTCAGCGATATGTTCCGTTACTTGGGCTCCATAATTCAGAAGGACGGTGAGTTAGATGGAGATGTATCCCATAGAATCAGAACAGGGTGGATGAAATGGAAGAGTGCGTCAGGATTTCTATGCGACCGAGGTATGCCGACAAGACTGAAGGGTAAATTTTATAGGACAGCAATTAGGCCTGCATTACTGTATGGCGTAGAGTGTTGGACGGTGAAACAATGTCACATTCAAAAGATGAGTGTGGCAGAGATGCGCATGCTACGTTGGATGTGTGGGCATACTAGGAAGGACCGCGTGAGGAATGAGACAATCAGACAAAGGGTGGGAGTAGCACCTATTGAAGACAAGATGTGGGAGTCGCGCCTAGGGTGGTTTGGTCATGTGCGTAGAAGACCGAGTGATGCATCTGTTAGGCGAATTGAGATGTGTGGAGAAGAGGCAGGGAAGAAAGGGAGAGGAAGATCCAAACAGACGTGAGTTAGGGGAGTTCGAAGTGATATGCTTCTTCTGGGGTTGGATGAGGGCATGACTTTGGAGAGGACTACATTTTTAGAAATTCCATTCAAATTAATAATATTAAGGGAAAAAACCCTTTTTCTATAGCCACTTAATCTGTGATGCCAGATAATTAACTAATTAAGTATGCCAGCAACAAAACAATATATTTTGATAAAAACATTTTGAATCTATAGAACATAGCTAATGGTGAAGGTACAGGCTAATTGAACATCAACCCACAATAAGCATTCAATATAAACATAAAATGCATTTCAAGGTTTAGAAAATGACTTATGTGGTAGGGCAAATCTTTGAAAAGCAAGTCTGGAAAGTATATATCTTTGGTACATGAAAAACAATGCAGGTTGGTGAAGGCCAACCGATCACTCCACACTTAACCAGCTAGAACCGAACGCCGGATTACCATTTCTGTTTCTCGCGTTTACACAGGGGTCCACAACCCAACCGCCTTTTGTTCATCACTTCTAAACATCCCTTATCTGTCATCTCTGTTTTCTCAAGATGTGTTCCCCATATCTGCACATCATATCAAACGTTTAGCCAGAAATGGTTTGCTCATCCCGGTATGTGCATAGTGTATAATCTTTTAGTGTGATTTGACCAAGACTATTATTCAATTATGAATTATGTCCGCTACGGTGAGAAAAGGAATATTTTTACCGTGTTCTTTGAAGCTAAACATTGTTTTCTATATTCCTAAGGGGCTGATGAATTTTTCAAGATGCAGCCCGGTGTGCTTTAAATCACATTTGTTGGCCTGATCCGCATAGGACATTCGCACTCCATTGCCATACATAGGACAGATCCGACCAGCCCCACAACCAAACTCACACTATTATAAAATTACATGGAAAAGAAGAACTGTGTGATCATCATAACATGCTATCATGCATATTGATGAGATGATGGATGTATAAGAAACACTTGCATACAATTCATCCCACTGCAACAAGTAGACCATCTTAAGACCGGAAATATTCGTAAAGAAAAGAAAATGCTGTAGTAACAAAAATGACAACGTCAAAAAAGGAGGATTTCATTACAGATAATAAACTCGAGTCCTCTAATAAATGGATCAGCAGGATGGTGAATAAATGGAATTACAGGTTAATGAATCCTCCATACTTCAGTCTTTGCCTATTCAAGAGAGAATAAGCCACATGGTTTGAGTTTATGAACAATCACAATCATAAACTATGAGAGGGAAAATTCAGCATTTTCTCATGGAATTATGGAAAAAACTAATTTAATACTCACCAAGTAACCATGACTAATTTCACTATCATTACAAGATGCTGCTTCATCTACTAATTTGGCAAAAAGTTGAAGATGCAAGCATTGAAGAAAAAAGCATGTTAAAAGAGCCTATTTTGTTGTAAATTGAGAAGTTTAGTCACACAAAGGAATACGAAAAAGCATATTGCATAAGCATACTCCATCCTGACATTAATCAATTACACAAAACATCCCCACATTAAATTCTCATTTTGTCATCACATCAATTCAAGTAGACCTAATAACCTTTTCATTGAAGAAACATGAAATGCATACTAAATGAGAAATAAACAATATCGAGCTAAAGAGCTGATAAATAGAAACTAGTCAGGCACTATACACATATCGAGCACAGAAGAGAGCCACAGACGTAGGATGTCTGAAACCAAATTAAACAATAGAGAGACAGGTTCGTGGTCCTTTGAAGGTCTCTATGGACAGTAACAATGAAAAAATGGTGATTGGAATGTTATATGATCTCCTATTTTATCATCTCTTCACATTTGTATAAATATTAAGATGTAGACTTAAGTGATGTTCTCTTAAGCTTCTTTTCTTATGCATATTTCTTGTTGTAATTTTAATTGCATTAGAGCAGAAACAACTAGAAAGATTCAGCACGGAGTCAACAGACCAAACCTTACCAAATTTAGATTAGATCACATTCTTATGCAAAGAGGTCTACAAAAACCGTGTTCCAATTTTCAAACTTACCTCTATAAAAAAAATAGACCAAGAGAGGTGATGTTTTTCATTCCGTATTTGTTATTAATTTATACATTACTTATAAGGTGTCAGACACTCAGAGGACCACACTAATTCAAGAAAGACCTCAAAAATCTCATGATACATTCATTCATTGAGAGATCTGATTTCAGAAATTCACGAATGTGATTTTCCTAATTTGTTTGACTTAATTAGTTTCCAGTTTTGTCACAAATTGCCTTATTACAAAACAGTTGTAATCCTGTATAAAGGAAAGCATATTGTAATAGTCAAACAAGTTGAAATTGAAAAACAAAAGAGTATTCTTGGAAGTCTTTTTCCATGGTCAGCTACCAGCCTACCATAGGCATCCTCTTGCTAATCTCACACAGGTCCATAAAACGTAGTTTATCAAATAAACATAGGGAAAAATAATAAAAATACCCCAAACTTTGAAGGGGTGTGAGGTAAACACCCCAAACTTGCATATGTAATTTAAATATCCCAAACTTTGTATAAAAAGTTATTTTTGCACCATCAGCATGTATTATTTCTTTCAAAAATGTAAATTTATGGGGTTAATTGCATAATTTAACATAGCAAATTAAAAGTGTTGCAATTATATAGATTGGGAGTAACATTATTTATTTCGCGATGGAATTTTAGAATATTGATTGTGTCTTCATGAATTCTAAAATATTTTAAATTATGCAATTAACGCCATAAATTTACATTTTTAAAAAAAATAATACTTGACTATGGTGCTAAAGTAACTTTTTATATAAAGTTTGGGGTATTTAAATTACATATGCAAGTTTGGGGTATTCATCTCTCACCCTTTCAAAGTTTGGGTTATTTTAATTATTTTTCCCAATAAACATATCACTTCCCCATTATCCTACTTCATTGAAGCAAAACAGAAGGGGGGGGGGGGGGGGGGGGGGGGGGTGAACTAGCATTAGTCTTCTAAAAGTAAACTTGCACAAATCAAGCATACCTAGGGCAATCAAGCAGAAGAATCATATCACCGTTCCAATTGAAATCAAGCACCAAATTACTAACTATGGTGATAAACGCAATAACCCTATAATGCAAGTTCACATAAACTCTACAGACAGTCTACTTCAAATTATTAGCACATACAGATTACATGATTCAAGTATGAGCCCCAAACCAAATAAAGCATAGAAATAAAAAGTAAAATATAGTCTTTTGAACAGAAAACATCACTCTCAACTCTCAAGTCTCATCCACTTACAATATACAATGTCATGAAGATATATAACCAATAAAGAACGCAAATATAACATGATGATCAAAATGAAGTCAAAAGTTGAAATCTTTACTATAACCAAGTTGCTATTATTCAAACCAATATGCATTATGAACTTATATTTCATAAGTTCATAATACGTTATCAATATACACCTTACTTCATTGGTGATGTGTAAAAGTTCCAATCTTTGAGATGGATAGACAGATAGATTACCTGGAGCTTTGTCTGAGGCGTCGTGGTAAATGGCTTCTTCCTCTGGAACAGGGTGAAGGCACATCAAATCCTCGTCAGCAGCTTTGGTGGGACCCGCACATCCATCTTTATCATCAGGATATCTCACCACAACAACAGGACACACACAGTGTTGCACGCAGTAATCGCTGACGCTCCCAAGCCGGCCTTTAGCACTTCGCCTTGAAGCTCCGAATCCTCTGCTACCCATTATTACAGCGCTCAGCCCAAGCCTCTCCACCTCCAGGCAGAGCCTCTCCTTCATGTCATGATCCTTCACGATATGGATCTTGAACGGAATATTCCCCTCCACCAGCGGCTGCGACACGTCGTTCGCCTTTGAGGTCGTGAAATTGTCGAAATCGTCCTCGAGTTTCTGCTGCGACTCCTCGTCACTGGCGGACGCGGCCTCCGATACGACGGATAGATCGATGGCGCCCCAATCGGCGCCGTATAAGACGGAGGTGGGTCGGACGTGTAGCAGGATAACGGCGTCGCCCGGCCGGAGGTAGTTCTGTACTGCCCACTTCACGGCGTAGGCGCTCTCGTCGCTGAGATCTACGGCGATTGCGATCTTACGCTGTGCCCCCGCGGTGGGTGTCCCAGATGGAAAGCGAGGGGAGGCTGGTTGGTGCGTGATCGCCGTCGGTGGACGCTCGGATTTCACCGCCGGTGGCTTTTTCGGCGAGGACATCATTAATAGCAATCGACGAGGATTGGGATGTTGAGCAGTACGATGATGGTGTCTTGATAGGTAAGTTTGTGTGATTCACTCCCTGTCCCTTCCTCCCAGCGTCGAATTTCCGAGTATACGATGCTGGTGCGGGTAAAATCGTACGAAGTATGTTGCCGGGACCGGTAAATCGGGCCACGGATTAACCTGGTCAAAGCGGGTTATCACTTTCAAATACGGAACAATGGATATCAGCGTTGACCAAATATACTTTCCTCCTCAATTTTATTTGCAAAATTTCCTATTATGGTTATCCAAAAATAGTTTTTCACTTTCTATTTTAGGTATCCAAATAAGAATAAAGTGACAAATTTACCTTTACTTTTACTACATACTTTTTTTTTCATTAACTTAAAGACATCTACTTTTAGAAATATGAGCGAAAGTGTAAAAAACAAATATCATTTATTGCAATTCCTTAATTCACGTGTCGGTCAAAGTTTGCAATTCAATTCGGGACGGAGGAAGTATAATATAGAGAAAAGGGAAATAAACATGGAACAAGTGATTTTATCATAATTGCAAATACTATGTTACATCTAGGCATGACAATGGGTCGGGGCGGAGTGGGTACAACAAGACTCAGACCCGTCCCGTGACTTGACGGGGTGGTTCCACCCCGCCCCGTGACCTGAACGGGTCCAAACTTCTTGACCCATGACCCGACCCGTAACCTAATTAGCTTGTATGTATTTTTATTTGTGAGAAGTTGTTACCAATTGAATCTACATAAAGTATATCTTTAAATAGTTATTAAAAATTAATATATTAAATTAAATTCACGATACGCTAGAAATTTTAAAGGTTAAGGAAAAATTACTTAGACTTGAATAGTTAATCTATTTAATTATATTAATAGTTGAATATACGTATTAAAATGCTATATATAAAGAAGACATTGATAATCCGTCGTTCATCTCAATCTAATATATATATATTGATATTGATATATTATAAGATCAAAGAATTTATGATTTATTGTATGCACACATATGTATGTTGAAGTATATTTGTAGTACAATTTAAGAAAAAATATGTATATACTTATATATTGAGCGGGTCGGGGCGGGACGGGGTAGGGCAGGACGCACAGGTCAATACTAATACCCGGACCCGCCCCATTGTATAGGCGGGGCGGGGCGGACCCGCCCCATTTGCAAGATGGGGCGGGCCAGACCCGCCACAAATTTCTCGGGCCAGGGCGGGTCATTGCGGGCCGAATTTTTTTGACATCCCTAGTTACATCCATAGTAAAAAAGGGCTTGATGGTTCCATTTCAATGGGTGAGAGTTGTATTTGCAAAGTCTTTCGATTCATAGGTATGATTACAAAAGTACAGATCAATCAATAGCTCGATGACTTATTTGCCCTTTTTCTCAATAATACAGAGTACTTTGTAGACTACAAATGAACATTGGTCCAAGACCGGACTAGACCACAACCGGTTTGGACCGGAACTAAAGTTGTCTACAAATTTCTTCATTCTTTATCATCTTTGAATTGTTTAATCAATCATATTCAACTTTTTTAGAGGAAAAGAAAACTTTTATTAAAAATTGTTCAAAGCAATAGTTAAAACCAGCCAATATATAGTTCAAACCCCACAATCTATCGTTCAAAAGGCACCATCTGGACCCATTAAGACTCTACGATAAGACTCTGAGACGATCACTTCCAAACAAAAGCGTGAATCATTGACCACCAAACGAGCAACATATAGTTCATACATACACTTAAGGTCATTGTACTTTTCATCACTTATAAAAACCTCCTAATAGCCAAAAGGTTCCCTAAGTTCCTGATCATACATAGAAAAGTTCATTCAAAACTTAGCGAAACTTTTCGCAGAACATATTGAGTCTGTCACGCCCCGGACCTGCCCGGACACGTCAACAACCCGCCGTACAGTACGAATAGTCAACCGCAGTCCGACTCATCCATACTATACAAGGCGTCTTGAATACCATTCACACATAGTACATCCATAAACAAACATAATGTAAAACATTTATTAAAGCAACGGAAACAGTTGATACAAGTGTTCAAGCCACACTTGGCATAATTAGGCATGCAAGCCCCCAAAGTAATTATTCAGAAAATATTATCCATGAGCATTGTTTTAAATTGTTTTCCCAAAACAGAAACGGAAGAAGCACGAACCACGTCTTCTCCCTTCGATCCTCCTGAAGCAACGGGCGGTGGCAGCAACCTTCAAGTTCTACCTGAAACTGTGAGGTGGCCTCCCCCGTGAAGGGGAGGTCGGTACTTGGAAACATTTGACAAGTACAATAGCAACTATACTAAGTATAATCAATGTTTAAATTTCTAAGACCCTCAATTCAGGGTGATATTACATTATAGGCCAAAACCCTCGGTTACCCCTTTTTGCTATTTAAATCATACTTACTTTATATGAAGTCAAGTAGTCGGCCCGTGAGCCCATATTCATTTAGAATTCATCATTTCCATTCCCCCGTGACCGCAAGTCACGATAACCCCGTGGGGTCCCATCGAGCCCCAATTGTATAGTAAGGGCTCGGCCCAACTACATTTCTATACAATCCTCTAACTCAATATAACACATCAAAATTGTATGGCAAGGGCTCGGCCCAACTACGTTTCCATACCAACCATAACTTCGTGGCAAGGGCTCGGCCCAACTACGTTTCCATGAAGATCACAAATACATGGCAAGGGCTCGGCCCAACTACGTTTCCATGCTGATCATATTACATGGCAAGGGCTCGGCTCAACTACATTTCCATGTCATCCTAGAGTCCAACTCTAATTATTTTCATAATCCAACTCTCAAGCAAATCCTATCCCTAGAATCAATTCCCTTGGGTAGCCTTTAAGCCTACCCTTAACACACTTTAGTGTTCATACAATTCAACCTTAAAGTATCTCTTGAGACTACTTAAGGCATATCTATTCACAATCCCACCTCTTAGGATTTATTTCATCATTTATTTATATTAATCCCCCGACTAGTATTTTGACACTAGTTGGATAAATCTTAGGACATGCCAAGTTCCTATTTTCCAATTGACATTTCATTTCAATTGATTTTCCAACCCAAGTATAGTTTGATCCCAATATCAAAAATATCACTTTAATCCATTCATGAATTTCATACATGAAGTAAAGTATATTTTATCACAATGTCATCATAGTAATTCCATTAACATGCCGTTCCTTTCATTTCACATAATCATACACAATTATTCTAAATTTGTATATCATGCTTCACTTACTCATATCAATATTATTTTCATTTAGGCATCATTAATCATGAATAATCCATGAAAATCCCATTTGATTACCTTAGGCAATCTTATGAAATTAACTCACTAATTATAAGCAATATAGTCAGCCATCCTCACCTCGTGATGTGCTACAATAGTTGCCTTTGCTAAGCCCCTCGATCAATCCCCGTTCTAGGCCGATTGAAAGTGGAAAACTGGACTGCTGGACGAAAGCCGGGCGGCTTTCACAAAAGCCGGGCGGCTTTCGTGTTCTGCAGATACGAGCAGCTCCCTTAAAGTGGCGGTTTTCGGCGATTTCGACTCCTATCGATTCACCAACTCCTCTAAGTTAAATATCACCACTTTATATCAATATTCTACACTTTTAAACGTGTAGAACTTCATGTTTAATCCACCATATGATTTCTTAAAAATCATACTACAAAAAACTAGTTAAGAGAACTATTTGAGTTCTTACCTTAATTTCTAGCCTTTTTGAGTTGGATTTCCTTTACTCCTTGCTTCCTTCAAGCTATGAGCTTTGTGAGAGTCTTCTCCTGAGCTCCTCTCCTTGCCTTGGTCGTATGATTGAGGATGAGAAATGATAGGAGACAACTCTCCTCAATCAAATGGGAAGTCAATGTGTAGGACATGGGGTTTTGTCTCAATCCATCCCCTCTTCCTATAGTTCGAACCTAGCCCATTTTTCTTGTCTCTTCCAGCTCCCATTCAGTCAAATGGAGCACACAAAAACGTGGGGTGGCCCCCACTTAGGTGGGAGGTCATCCCGTTATGTCCCGGTGTGTACAATCGGCCCCAAAAGTTGTATTTCTCGGTACGTTTTAATTATATTTTATTTTATCGGACCAAATAAAATATATCACGCGTTCCTAATAATTATGGGCCTTTAGAATAGATGTACATTCTCCAACATTAATTTAGGAGCCTCCGAAACTCATTTCGGGCTGTTATCCGCTAAATTACCAATACCGGTAATTGGGCCTCATTTGACCCACCGGTCAACTCTATGCCCTTCCCATTGCCCAATTAAAATATCCCCTCCATAGAGATGTCATCTAGACCAAGATGAATATAATATGTGGTTCGGGAATTATCGGGTGGTCCTCGTTCCCGCTGTGGGCCCCACATGCAATTTACTATTCACGTAAAAGAAATAATAAAGTTTAACAATTACGTAAATTCATAATTCACCTTTCAAGGTTTACTACATCATTTACTAACAGTAAACATGCTTGGGGACGGTGTCACAGAGTCTTCAAGGAAACTAATGGCCTTATACATCTCAAGACTGTCACTAACAATAATAATCCAAAAATAAGGTAAAAAATTGAACGAAAGAAAAATAAAGCTTAAATAAAAAATAAAGCAAGAAACTTCAGTTGACCAAACCCTAGTCACACGTTCATTCCATGGTGGTGGTTTAGAAGTGGTCAAACCATCAATACTTAATCTTCTTCCTCCAAGACCAAAAGATCGTAGATCTGGACTAGAATATCAAACCCACCTTACTCCTTAACTGTACCGCTCCCTGTAATGTCTTTGTCCTTCTTGCCAAGAAATCTAGCCCCCTACTGCTTCACTTGAAAATTGTGTCTCCCTCCTCTATGACACGGACGAACTTGTCACCTCAAATATTAACCTTAGCACTCACCTGGAAAAACGGCGGACACAAGATTTGTCCCCCTCCTAAACCTCCTCCATGGAGTGAAAGAGTGGGTAGGATTTGCAAGATGATGATTCAAGTTTGGATATGGTCACATTTGGTTTGTTTCTTTTTATTTATTTCAAATCTTATTTTTCTTTCATGAGACAATTTTTCTTGTTTTTGAAATGGTTTTGTTAGTGCCATTCTTGAGATGTCCAGTTTCACTAGGATCAAATGTATTGAGAATTTTGAGGACGTTAATCGATTCGAACCTCCCGTAGGTTAAGTGAAAAGTTTCACTCAATTTTGGGTGAATTTTTCTAGGACTGAGGGGACCTAGGGCGTTTCTTAAGTCAAGATGAAGTTTTTCTTGTTTGATAGGTAATGGATTTTGAGCTATTGGATCATTGCAACTCTTAGTTCGAATAGTGTTTTAATATAAGTTCTTTTCCTTTTAGAAAAACTTCTTATGGTATAATTCAATTATTTTTGTATGGTAAAGAATGAGGATATATATTATTAAACAACATCATAGGGGTGTTTGGTAAATGATTGTTGGTTGTTAGTTGTTGGCTGATTTTGTTAGTTGATTGACGAAAGCGGATTTCGTTGGCTGTTTTGATTAGCTAATAATATCAGCAGTTTGTAAAATAGTTTTTGCTGAATGATTGTTTACAATCACTTGTTCATATACCGTAAAAGGGCTCGGGCAGTATACCGTAAAATAGCCGAAACACCAATGGTAAAAGACAGGATGGATGACTCTTCATATTTTGATTGTTTAGAACAAAAACCCAACATAAAGCCATTTAATCAAACTCTTTTATCAAATCAATCAAGAAATGGCTGGTAGCTAACTAAACACCCCCCATTTATAACACATTCGTCATTTGTGAGCTTCACGATGGCAGGAGGATCATGAAGAATCAACTCCTCGATTCCAGTCGAGTTAGCACTTTATATAAATCATAAATTCTTTGATTTTATAATATATCAATATCAATGTCTTCTTTATATATAGCATTTTAATACATATATTCAAGTATTAATATAATTAAATAGATTAACTATTCAAGTCTAAGTAATTTTTCCTTAACTTTTAAAATTTCTAGCGTATCGTGAATTTGATTTAATATATTAATTTTTAATAATTATTTAAAGATATACTTTATGTAAATTCAATTGGTAACAACTTCTCACAAATAAAAATACATTCTAGCTAATTAGGTTACGGTGGGGTGGGCGGACCCACCCCGCATGGGGCGGGTCATGGGTCAAGAAGTTTGGACCCATTCAGGTCACGGGGCGGGGCGGACCCGCCCCGGCAAGTCACGGGACGGGTCTGAGTCTTGTTGTACCCGCTCCGCCTCGACCCATTGTCATGCCTAGATGTAACATAGTATTTGCAATTATGATAAAATCACTTGTTCCATGTTTATTTCCCTTTTCTCTATATTATACTCCCTCCGTCCCGAATTGAATTGCAAACTTTGACCGACACATGAATAAAGGAATTGCAATAAATGATGCTTGCTTTTTACACTTTCGCCCATATTTCTAAAAGTAGATGCCTTTAAGTTAAAGGAAAAAAATACTTAGTAAAAGTAAAGGTAAATTTGTCACTTTATTCTTATGTGCATACCTAAAATAGAAAGTGGAAAACTATTTTTGGACAACCATAATAAGAAAGTGCGTTCATGTGGTAAATTCAAATTAACAAAGTAAGAATAAAATAAGAATGATTTAAAACCATATGAATTTTATCAAATTTGGTATGAAACAATCTTAGTGAGACAAATTGAAAACAATCTTAGTGAGACAATTTTAGTGGGACGGAAGAGTAACTTTATTCACCTAGGTTGTAGATCTAGTCATGTTCATATTAAAGACTTTTTGAATGAAATGTGCTATTTCAGATAGAAAGTTTGATAAGGGCAATGATTGTTCCAATCTTTTTCACCCGAAAACCCACTTTTGAATGAAAAAAATTATTAGTTATAGCCTTACGAAAAAGTTACTCCCTCCGTCCCAGAATTTACTTCCATAGTACAAATGGCACACGGATTAAAAAAGTGGGAATTGTGTGGTGGAAAGTTGTGCAGAGTATAGAGAAATGTGTAAGAATGTGTAAGAATTGTCGTGAACCATAATTTTTTTGCCAAAAAGGGAAAGAGAAAGTTGGAGGGAGTACCATTTAAAACGGGCATAATCAAAAGTTAAAAGATACCACATCCGTCCCACAAAATAGTTACTAGTTTCCTCTTCGGACCATCCAAAAAATAGTTCTCATTTCTCTTTTGGGAATATTTTGTGTGCTTCACCTTCATTTCCTTTTTTTTACTCAACCACAACTATACATTTTAACTTTATTCCTACTTTTTAAACTCTGATCGTAGTAAATACGAGAACTATTTTATGGGGCGAAGGGAGTATCTATCTATAAATATTCCTAATATAAATGGGCCAATAAAATTTGGTTCTTGGAGATTTCAAATATTACTATTAAGTTCTAATACAAGAGTATATGGAGTTCAACTCCCAAAGATCCTTAAAGCACCTCAGTCAAATGTAGCCCAGCGGGATGGAGGAACAACTACGCGGTCTTGTTTAACCTCTGGGGCATAGAGCAAACTGAAAAGATCCTTTGCAGTCTCACTCTTTCTTGCCGGTTGACGGTCACCGCCGCCGTTATCATTCGCCGGAGGTTCAACAACAATTATGTTATCTGTCGTCATGTCTACAGAAGCCCAGCGAGGTCTCGTTGTTGTTGTCGTGGAAGAAGAAGCTTGTGCCTTGTTTGGATCAAAAATATCCTCTTCCAGAGAATACTTTCTGGCTTTTCTTGGGATTCCAATTCTACCCCCACCAGGCCCAGCACCATCTTCTCTACTGTCCGATGATGGGTTTCTTTCACCCACAATATGATGGGCAGTTGGGGGGGTAACAAAATTATTATCCCCAGAAACCCATTTTTTATCCTCGTACTTGGCTCGTATGAAGCTTTCTATGTCGGTTCTATCCTCGGCGTTTCCCGGCAGAAGTGCTTCCCAATAAGTGTTAGCCTTCTCGTTTCCCATGCATTGCATGAAAGCGACTTGTTCGGGGAGCCACGTATCCAGTGTGGTGGACCTCACCTTGGAGATATGCACTCCGAGGCTCCGGTGGATGCCGGAGCATTGCATGCATATGAAGATTCCGAGGTTGATGCTGGCCCACCTCGGCGCCCTGCTCCGGCAATCTGCGCATTCTCTGTTTTCTGGGAGTTTGAGGAGTCCCTCTAATATCTTTGTGTGTTTGGCGTTGAGTTCTTTGGAAACAGAGGCTTTTGTGTTGTTCATGTTTATTGAGAAACAAATGGGGAGAGAAATTAAATTAGCTAAGGGTGATTTTGGGATGTCTTGTTTCTCCCTTTGTTCTCTCTCGCCTCTTTGTTTCTAAACCAGAGAAGCTGTTAATGGTGAATGATGTTATCGGAAGAGTGTTGGGTGGCTCTAAGAATCAATGACCAGTTCAAAGGAAGAAGGGATTGAGGGTTATCCTAAAATGGCGGGTGTTTTTGCAACATCCATAGAAAAAAATGTAAATTTTGCTTCAAATTCTCTAGAGATATTGCCCGGAATAAAATGTTGCTTAAATCTCAAACAGGAGTATGTATAATTGATTCTCTAAACATGATTAATTATTGGCTTAATTGCTCTCTAATTCCCGGTAAAAACAGCAGTACGTATACCGTGGGAGCGGCTCACCTTGAGCATCCTGCTTCCATGGCTTTGTTTTTTATTTCAGCGGTAGGTTTGGTGTAACTCGTGTTTAAAACAATGTAACTCACATTATTAAGAAATAGTAATTTGAGTTAAATTGAAATGTAACTTATCTAAAACAGAATAAAAGAAGTAAAACATTGATTTCAATGTAAGTAATGAAAAAAAGAGTCTAATTGATTAATTATGTTGCATAAATAGTGTACATGTTTTGTTTTTAATATCAAGGCTATTAAAACGATTTTTAATAAAAAATTATTTTTGTTTGAATACAAGACGTTTATTTTGTTGTGTAACTCGCATTGTTTGTGGTGTAACTCGCAGTATGACAAATGTAAATCACGTGTAAGCAAGATGTAACTTGCTAATAAAAGTTGACATGTAACTCACGCTAATAGATATGTAACTTGAGATAAATGGAAATGTAAATTGTTTTAATAAAAATGTAACTTTTCTTAGATAAAAAAAATGACAAAACTTGAACAAATTGGCTTTTCAAGATATCCATGGATGCCCATCCCCTGCAGAAACTTAATCCCACCTTTAGGAGCACTAAGTTTTTTATCCTCATCCCCATGTCAGGCGGCCGGGTGGGTTCTCTGCTCTCAGCTTTGGCCTAGCTGGGGTGGGTAACAATGCTAATGTTGGCTTTCATCCGTAGTCAAATCTTCAAAAAAAAATTTGGTATGTTCAAACATGTTGTCACTGTATCATTGATTCAATGGAAAGTGATTGTGGGGTTGTTTATTTGAAAAGTTACGTTGCAGAGGTACTCAGTGAGGGGAAGAATTTGAGTTTGTCTAGGGATTTGATGGAGAGAGTTATGAACTAAATGAAACCATAGGGATTGAGCACTAAGTTAGTTGTGGATGATGAGGATGGAAGGCGGCAGTGTGCTCGGATGATGAATCTAAAATTTTTCACGACGGAGAAGAGCTCAAGAATTGGTCACGGCCATTGAAATCGGAAGATGACGATTGATTTTTACTAATTAAAACGGTACCGTTTGGGATCGGCACACCGTGCGCACGGTGGGCCGATCCCACGGTATAATTTGCGATTTATGCGTAAAAACAGGGCTGTCCGGCAGCAACAGTCCAATGGCATTTCAACAGCAACAATCCAACAACCATCTGAAGCAACTTCATAACACAAGAATGTAAATAAATAAAGGTAGATTCTATGGTACCCATAAGGTACCGTACCTTTGTCCACATGGACCAATGAAAGTGTTGCAGTTGAATTATTTAATGTCTAAATTAAAAATGATATACCTATTTGGACCAATCAAATGAATGGTAGGTACGGTACCCCATTTTTTAAATGGGTACCGGAGTTGTCACCATAAATAAATTGCAGAAGAATAAAAGAATAAATAAATGTATTTTTTTAGTATATTACCATCCTCATGCCTACAAGTTGACATGGATACGTGGTCATCCATTTCATTTCATTTCATTTCATTTTCATTTACCCCACTGCCGCAAAGGCTCCCATCTACGGTGGGGTAAGGGGGATCGGATGTACACAGTCTTACCCCTATACTAAAGCACAAAGAGACTGTTTCCGGATGACCCATAATGAAAATCGCGTCCAAAATTGCATGAACGGACTGTTGCTCCATAACAAAGAAGGACATACAGTTTAGTGAGCCATTTTGCTTTATTCCATCATAATCTCAAGCCAAAAAATAATGACTTTTTGTCTCCATTGCAAATGATGGAAATGATACGTGGTCATCCGTATAGAAAAAATAATACTACCTCCGTCCCAAAAAGATTGATACATTTTGACTTTTCTTGGTCAATGGTGGTAAAGTTTAGACAATGATTTTAGGTATTATATTTGTTTGTAATTTATAAATTTTATAGTTTTATGTAAGATTTTTTAATAAAGAATATGTTCATATAATTTTCATATTTTAAAGGAAAAAGGGGCAAATAAGCCCACATACTAATAAAAAAAGGTCAAATAAACTCTTATATAGGAGGCTCTGTCCGGCCTTCGCCATTTGGGGCAGTTCCCGTTGGAATTTTTCGATGAAATTTTTTGAGAAGCTTATTCATTAAGTCTAGTTTACTCATACCAAATTTCAGCTAACAATTCTGTTAATATATTGTTGGCCCAAACGTTTTTTGTATATTAATAATGGTTAACACACTTTCTAGCAGCCCACTACACTATACCCATTTATCTGTCTGGCCTATCAATATTTGCCTCTCCCGTTAGAATTTGAATTCAGCTCATTATTGAGCTAGTTGTGAGTTGTGTGTGCAGTGGATTATGAGTGTCCCTGCTAATAAGGCCAAAATGCTTCCCTGTTATTAACACACACCCTGCACCCTTTGTTCGGAGGGTGAAAGACACACCATAGAGTTTCATTAGTTGAACCTTTTCTTCCTGCCAGAGAGTGCTCATAGTGAGGCAGCTTTCCTTCTTCTTCTTGGTGAGGTTAGGAGTGTGAGTGTTGCCGAGGCTAGAAAGGTGTGTTGCTCCCTTAGCCTAGGTGTGCACAAGAGACAACCGGAAACCGAGCTCCGGACTGCCTGAGTCGGAATCCATGGTGTATTTCTATGCATAAATCTATTCCCTCCACACCCCAACCGGATGGGGTTGCTGAGAGGATGGTTAGAACTCTTTTAGAGAGGGTGAGGGCTATGTTAGCATCATCTGGGCTCTCTAAAAAGTTCTGTGGGGAAGCTATTTGTTATGCTGCTTAAGAGGGAAATGCCCTGAATCTGTGTTCAGGGGCGAACCACTTAACTTGCCAAATTTGAGAGTGTTTGGTTGTGCTGCTTATGTGAATCGTGAGAATGATAAATCTGAATCTAGGGCTAACGAATATGTTTTCTTAGGATATCATGAATGCATGAAAGGTTGTAGGCTTTGGTGTAGGAGTGAAACTTGCTTCAATGTGTTGATGAGTAGAAATGTCGTTTTTGTTGAAAATGAATTTCCTTGCTTACTTGTTTCTCCTGATGTTGCTCCAAATGAGGTGTAGCATTTGCCTGTTGAAGTTCATTCTGATTTACTTGTTGAAACCAAACCCAAATTTGTGAATGAAAATGTTTTTCATGGTTAAAATAAAGAAAATAAAGAAAATAATATTTCTATTAAGGTGGAGCATGATATGAATGTTGTGAGCAATATGCTTGAGTTGCGTGATTGCCATGTTATTAGAGATAGAGACATTAGGGAGCATGAGAGAAATGATATGTGAAAAGTGTTTGATTATAGTTCCTCTGAGTTTGCTTTAAATGTGCTTAATTCTCTTTCAATTAAATTCTTTGTGATGTTTGGTATGCTATTTTCTTTGTGTTTTGAAAATGTGATACCATGTACGTGATTATGTGAGCTCTACCTTTGCTAGATATAGAAATATATTGTTTCTTTTATTTTCTTTGTACTTGCCTTATGTGGTTGTTAGATTAGTTGGGATCCCCAACTTCTCCCGGATGCTTGCTTGTGTGGGCTATTAACATACCTTGCGTTTGTTAATAGCATTGTGATGGTTTCGGTTTTGAACTCGACTATGGTAAAGTTAAGTCCTTTATTGTAACACCGTCCCCAAATATATTTACTTTTTAGTAAATCATGTAATAAATCTTGAATATTGATTTATGAATTTACGAGGTGGTAAATTTTTGTTATTACGTTTGCGTGAATAGTGAATTGCACGTGGGGCCCACATCGGGAACGGGGACCACCCGATAATCCCGGGACCACATATTATATTCATCTTGGTCTAGATAATATTTATATGGTGTTGGATATCTTGGTTGGGCCATAGGAAGGGCATAGAGTTGACCCGTCGGTCAAACGAGGCCCAATTTCCGGTATTGGTAAATTATCATATAACAGCCCGAAACGGATTTCGGAGACTTCTAAATTAAAGATGAGGAATGTATATTCATTCTAAGAGTCCATAAGGATGGGAAACACATAATATATTTTATTTGACCCGATAAATTAAAATATAATTAAAACAGCCCGAAAAATACAACTTTCGGGACCGATTGTGCACATTGGGACACAAAGGGATGACATCACACATGAGTGGGGGCCACCCCACGTTTTTTTGAGCTAATTTGGACAGGGAGTGCTGGAGTTGACCATGGAAGGTGTGGTGGAGGGGGGGGGGGGGCTTTGACATCATAGTACAAGGATGACCCCTCACCCATTACTCATTTTTTGTCATTTGAGACAAAATAAACCACTCCCTCTCACCTCAATCACCCAAATCGTCCAGCCCCATTATTTTGAGAAGAAGAACTCTCAAAATACTCATTCTCCATAGCTGAACTCGAGCTCAAGGAAGGAGGTCCAAAGAAGAGGATTAAAGAGGGGAAAAGGGTAGCAAAAGTGTGAAGAATTAAGGTGATAACCTTATAACAACTTTTCTCCTACTTTTTATCTATGATATGACATATATATCATGTGGAGGAACCCTATAATTTTTCTACATGTTTTGAAGTGTGGAACAAGGGGTTAGAAGGTTGTTCTAAGTCCAAGAACGGACTTAGAAGCCGAAAACGACCGGTTCGCCGGAAAATAACCTTTTAGAGGTTATTTGTATTGATATGGGTTTTGTGATGATAAAACCATGTAAGTAACATAAACAAAGTGTTTCTAGAGGTTGTTGGAGTTTCGCCGGAGTTCGCCGGAGTTTCGCCAGAGTCCAACCGAGGAGC